GGGTCTAGTTGGTTATAGATTCGTGGCCGTTTAAGGTGCCCTCATGAATTTCTCAATTTTGTGTCCTCTTCTCCAATTCAAAATGCTTGTGGGTGTTGCAATTAATGCCCACACAAATCTATGACTGTTATGATGGATCACTCGAAGGTCAATCTGTGACCGTCATTTGTATGTCACGGAGTATTATCACTGCCATTGTCCACTTTTATTCATCTAAAAATGATCACAAAGTGTTAAGATTTCCTTTTCATTATGACATTTGATCTAATGCTATTCAAAGCCTTTGTTTACATTCTGGGAGTTTTGTCTAACTTGCCCCGTGCATAGTTGTTATATCTTACGATACGCGATAGTATTGTACGATATGTCACGATACAGAGGTAAAACGATATGAATTAGAGTTTTGTATAGTATCGTTCGATACACGATTTGTTTTTACGATACGATATGTATCGACCGATATGAACGATACGCGAAGTCTGTTTTTTTTTTTTTTTTTATTAGGATGCACGATAAATCAGCAAAAACAGAGATGAAGAGAAGAATTACCAGTCGCCAAACCCACAAATCAGCAAAAATACCCAAGCAAAAGCAAAACAAATAAAATTTTGAAATTAGAAAAAATAGCAACACTGACCTGTATATTTCGGATGAAATTCTATGTTGATTTTTCTTTAGATGTTAGAAAACACTTCTTATCCATTGCAAGAACTCATGCCCCAAATTTCACAAAAGCGTGATAAAAAATATTACTTTGTTTATTCCAAAAACATATGTCGGTTTGTTGTAAAAGCATTTAGAAAAATATCTCTTTAGTTTAAATAAATCATTTTTTTTTTTTTGAAAATTTTGACAGAGTTTCTTTTAAAAATCGGACATCCAGATAATTGGTGAGAGTTAACTGTGAGAGCATTAAACATAATAATTATACCTAACTAGTTATTCACATCATATCAATCATATACATCCCTTCTCTTATATCCACAAATAAGTCATTACCGTTTAATACTGGGGTGGCAAATAGAGACCCATGAAGTCCTCCCAAACCCAGGTTATAATTTAATTATCTAAAATTCTTTGTCATGAACATAATATTTAAAATCTTTATAAGTATATCATTTAAAAGGTCCCAATTTATACATATTCTCTCAAATTAACTAAGATATAAATCACTTACAAATCCTCAATAATATACATCATTGTTCATTATTTTTTACATGCTCTAACTAAATATATAAAGTCATAACTATCTTCTACCTTGATACTCCCGCTATGCAGTCCACCAACATATGCCCATAATTGAAAATGTTAAATGATAGGGGTGAGTAACCACACGCTCAGTAGGATAGTCTTTTTCTCAAACATTTACGAAGTTTTAAATATCAATATTTCACAAACCATACAAATAAATAATGAAAATTTTTTATAATTTAGTATAAGAACAAGATAATTAGTAGAGTATTTATAAAAATCTCCCAACACATCATCATTAAAAATATATAATGTATAAATTAAAGGTTTATACATTTTAAGCCAAACCATCATAGTAAATATCATGCATGCCTCGTATACGGACAATATAATCAATCACATTGGTTCACGCATGAACCATCCCCGGGAACCTTTTGGGTCTTGCACCCTAGTCTCATCGCCCTTCTTGTTTTTCAAGGGAACGTGTAGGACACAACTTGTTACGCCACATAGGTCATCACTTAAAACCATTACTATAACCAATTTCCCTTAGGACTAGTAGCCGATTTGGCAACCCACTCAATATGCCCCAACCGTCTACTAACTCTCTGCTTGTCAGTATCGTTTTGCAAAAATCATTATTATCTATATCCATAAATCATTTTGAAATCATATGTCATAATCTTGATATTTTATCAAACATGTAGTAGGCTCAAATCTCAAAAATTGCATTTTTAAAGCAACATAACCATTTTCAAGATAATAAGCTATAAATATTATGTTCAAAATCATAACATACTTCAAAATTCCCAAATCATAGGTTTAATCAAATAACCATAGCTAAAATCAAACTAGAGTTTCAAACTCACAACACTAAAATCATTTCCATTTTCAAGAGAATAAGTCATATTATGTACACGATCATAACATATTTCAAAATCCCCAAATCATAAGTTTAATCAAATACTCAAACTAACATCAAACTAGAATTTCAAACCCACAACACTAAAATCATTTCCATTTCCAAAAGAATAAGTCATATTATGTACAAGATCATAACGTACTTTAAAACTCCAAAATTAGAGATTTAACGTACTTCAAAACTTCCAAATCATAGATTTAATCAAATACCCATAAATAAAATCAAACTAGGATTTCAAACTCATAACACTAAAATAATTTTTATGCATATGAGTTCACAATTTATGACATACTCAACACTAAATTAAGATTTATAACAAATATTTTGTCATTAAATACATAGTAAGCTTTAACTAAAGAAAATACATGAGATGCACAATGTAAATGCATGAGAGGAAAATCTCATCTAGAAATCAAGAATTCTAAGTCAAGGTCCTTAGGATTTTCAAGCAAAATCTAAACTTTAGAGACCTTTTTTTTCCCTTTTCTCTTTCCATTTATCTTCTCCTAGGGTTCTAAGAGGTATTGGGTAAGGGTGAAATGAAAGAATAGAAGAAAAGGGGCTGAAATCTGGGTTTTAAACCCAGTAGTCCCGAATTTTGCTGTTCTTGGGCAAAAAAAATATATTTTTTCTGAAATTACGGTTTTGCCACTAAACATTCAAATTTGATCCATAGTATTACCCTAAGGTTTTTTGACGTTCCGCATTCATTTTTAATGTTATTTTAATTTAAAAAAATTTAGTTTTATGATTTATCTCAGAAATAAAGTTAATTTACACCCGGAGCACTAAAATTATTATTTTGCCCTTTTGAATCATTATATGAGCTAAACGTCTATTCCAAGGTTTTCGGAGCTCCTAGATTCAATATTAATGTTATTTTGACATAAAAGAAATTAATATATTTACTTAGTTACAATTATCAACTTTAAACACCTCCAAAAATTAAATTTGACTCAAAAGTCAATATGTTGGTACCTCAACGACCGTTCTTTTAACAGCGATTGGAAGTCTCTCATTATTTTAATTATTTTAAAAAAATAATATCAAGTTAATATCATTTATAAGAAATATGAAATATGGGATCTCACAAGAACTCTATAAAATTGGAAACCCATTGAAGAAGTAGATCATCCAAGACTATTGAAGCAGAGAGACACTCTGTCTCATGTTCGCACTCGCAATCTTTCTCTCTTTGTCTCTCGATCACTCTCACGATCTCTCTCTCTCTCTGCCTCTCGATCGCTCTCGTGATCTTTCCCTTTTGTCTTTTTTTTTCTTTATCAGGCCCACTCTCCTCTTGGTCACTATATTTTAAAATAGGGAGAATTACACTCAGACCCTTTAAAGTTTATTACTTAATCACTTGGACCTCCTAATATTTAAAATATTACACACAGATCCCCTAAAATTTATACAAGCGTAATACTTAGACCCCTACTGTAAATATATCTGTTAATAAATTACATTTAGACACCCTAAAGTTTTTAAATAAATATTTTATTATTAGTTATTTAAAATTACACCGTATCTTACAATACACAATACGATACACTATTTTTAAAAAACGATACACCTTTCGATACACGATTTGACAGCTATGCGTTTTCAAAATGTGACATGCACTTAAGATTTTAATTTGATATACGTGCATGTTTTAATATCCATTTGATATGGATGTTTTTTGTGTAATTCTTAAGTTTTTGTTGTTCAAGTTTTGGGACCTGACTGTGATACTTGACCAACATACAGTGCGTATTGTTTGTTTTGGTGTGTGTGTTTTTTTTATTTGGGGGCTGGGGGTGCTCTGCTTCAAATAGGTACACAAGCTACAGAGGAAAATGGTTGCATTCCCATAGAAACCATAATTTGGCTATATTTTGGTGGTTGGTGTGGTAAAAAACTCTTACATTTCCTTGAACCATCCCAATCTGCCAGTAGGACCATTAAAAAGTAATTTGACAAACAGTTAAACATATTTCTCTACATTCAACCAGGGTTTTTATTTTCGGTCTGGTTTTTTGGCATGCTATGATATACTCTTATACCGGTGATTGTTGAAAATTGTATTAGTCACACTTGTAAATAATTAACATGAAAAGCATATTGTGAATAAAACCCCGTCGGGTGCATTCTTAAGTAATTTCTGGACACATTAATTCATTAGTAAGCTCTTTTTTCTCCTTCATAACCATCACATCTTGAACAAACCGTTACACATAAAGGGAAAAGAGCCCATTTCTGTTTGTTGGAGAGTGACTTTTAATGCCGTTTGGTCTTCAATGGACTTTGGGAAGCATATAGTATTGGATTCAAAACAAGAGTATCCCTTGCGCATCCTGTGCTTTGTACAAATTTTCTAATTTAGTCTCGTTGCGTGAAGTGGAGAATGTATCTATTTATATGTACAGAATATTGAAAAGTGTTGCTAATTGGACTCAAATTTTTTAACCTGCTCTTTATGTTTATTATTTGTAGTTTCCCTTTGTGCTGTCTTTGGTTTCGGTGTTGACACTTCTCAACGTCAGAGTCATGATCTGGTTTTGTCTTACATTGGTCGCAGGGTTGTTCATATTCCTGATTAGAGCTGGAATTTGTTACCCTGTATTGGTGGATGGAAGTTATTATGGCCTTCTGTTTTAATTAGAAGAAGAAACTGCACCTGTATTTCTGTAATATTTGAGTAAAGAGAAAGTAATTGAGAGAAAAAAGAACAAACAGATGAAAGAAAAGAAGGGAAAAGGAAAATATGCAAGCAACAAAGAGGAAAAAAAAATTTATAGTCCCTGGAAAAAAAAAGGAAAGGGGAAAGGGATAAAGGAAAAAAAGAAAAGAAAAGAAATGGAAAAAAAGGAAAGAAACTAGAAAAGATGTTATGAACAGGGACATGAAATGGAAAGAAAAAAAGAAAGAAAGGAAAGGAAGTCTTGGATCATTTGATGAAAGGATTCGAGGGGAGGCTGAAGTGAATGTGAAAAGTTGTGAGTTATGATTTTTCAGGTTCAGTACTGTCGTGCAAGAAGACAAATCCATTTATTTTGAAGAGCAAAGGCAAGTCCTTGCTATGCAATCTTAGTTACCAAGCTTGATTGGTGCTGACAGTGGTTGACATAGGTGGCTCAGATTTGCCTGATGTGGTGAGGGCTTCTCGATTGATTTATGCATACGGCGCTACTCTGTTTTTATCGTGTGTTTTTTGCCCTTTTTATTAATGTAAAAGACCATTTTACAAAATATCCATAATTGTTTCCTTTTGTAAGAATGTGGCTGTCAATGTCCTAAATGCTAGAAAATCTCTTGCTTTATGGTTAAAAAGCCTTACATAGTTAGCTGGATGATTTCTTGTCCTTCTGCATTTTTTTGAGCCATAATGGTGGCGTACTTCTGTGCTCGATTCATCAAAGTCTTGTGTAAATTTTGCTTCTCAAATCATCTTTCTCGTTTGTTGAGGGAAAAACTGTCCAAGACACGGATAATTGTTTTTGTTGTTGTTTCTGTTATGATTGCTTTGTATATAAGTTGAGGTGGTGGTATTATGTTTGGGGCATGCCATATGAAATATCAGAATGATATCAAGGAAGATATCACAGACATAAGAATGATTTGCTAAGTAAGATACTTAGCGTGGAGCCAAACATATGATTCGTGGCACACAGCTCTTCTATATCTCAGCCACGTGTCAACATGTTTTGATAAAGGCATGTGTTTTGACACATCTTTTAGTACATATGGCTTTGACAATCTATTACAAAAAATGATGATGGCAAGATGGAGCATAGAAATTAATGGGAAGAGGATGAATGAGTAAACTTCTACATTCAAGAAGGAGAAGCAGGAGGAGGAGGTGAAGGAGGAGAATAAGAAGACGAATAATAATAACTTTCCTTCTCTTGGGTGGTGGGTTGGGGAAATATTTATATCAAAAAGCTTTTTTAATAATTAATATGTGAATGGTTCTATACTGCAAGATAATATTGATCTACTCTTAGTCAGTGACTGTTGATTTTAATTTTTCTTTACCTACTATTATTTTATTCTTCCAGGAGAGTGAAAGAAAGATCTCAGCTATTACTGGCTAGTTGTTTAAATATTTTACCTTCTTCCATGAATGCGTCAGACGATCTCAATCACCTGTTAGATACAAATATGTAACAAATTTTGTTGACAAACACTTTCAACTTGCTTGCTTTCTGTATGGAATCTTTTCTGCAGGTTGATTATGCATGCACCCCTGAAGAAGTTCAGCAGCATTTCCAATCATGCGGCACTGTAAACAGGGTGACTATTCTGACTGATAAGTATGGCCAACCTAAGGGTTTTGCTTACGTGGAATTCCTTGAAGTAGAAGCTGTTCAGGAGGCTCTCCAACTGAATGAATCTGAATTACATGGCCGTCAGTTAAAGGTAAGCAAACCCATCCTTTCTTGAAACCAAACGAAGACCACCATGACAACTGTGGTGGATAGGACAAGCCAGTCTAACAATGGGAATGTAGCTCAAACAAGGGCTGCAATTTATAATCCGCTATTGACGTGTTATAGGTTCCATCATTACAGAGTTATGAATTGCTTGGTAAATGTGTCTTTGCAGGTTATGGCTAAAAGAACTAATGTTCCTGGGATGAAGCAGTATGGCCAAAGACGCTTCAACCCTTACATGGGCTATAGATTTAGGAGACCCTATGTTCCTCCTTATTTCTACTCTCCGTATGGATATGGGTAAGCTTCTTTTCAGTTGCTAACTTCAATCCATATAAATGATTCAAAGCAAATGATTTTATTGTTCTATAAATTTATGTCCTTTAACCTACTGCAGGAAGGTTCCCAGGTTCAGGAGGCCGATGCGATACATGCCCTATTACTGAGAGATAGATGCATCTTAGACAGTGCATTAATTTCAGTGGATCGGTACATCAAGAGAATAATTGTGATGTATGATCTCTTCAAAATATGGATCATGACCATCATTAATCATGCATGTTTTCATATATCCTCTCCCTCCCCCAAATGATAAACAATCCTGCATGATAGTGAGTAGATGTAGACATATGGCTATGGAGTGTTAGCTTGAGATGAAAGCATCGTTTGCTTGGTTAATTGTATCTTGTATTTGATTTGGATTTCTCTTTATTGTGAGTGCTTCACATTAACATTTTACCATAACTTATATATGCTAAAACAGGATATTTGTAGATGAAAACAATAAAGGTGCCATCAGCTCTTTCATTTTGCTCTACATATGAATTTCCACAGATACCTCTATGTTCAGTAACATTCTTTCCCACAGCTAAGCCTTGTTTCCCACAGCCACAAGGCAAACCAACCCTCTTTGGTCTGCACCCTCTTCAATTTAACCAAGTTGCCATCACCACACTTGACACCACCTACAGCCCGGTAGCTGCAATGAATAACCTGTAGTCTCCATGACGATTTCTCAATCACTTTTATTGATGATTGCTGAAAGAAACATATTTCTTGGATTACCTTTTGAGTACTATTTCTGGTGTTCAAAGAGCAGAAAGTTTTCTTGTAGATTTATGTTTTGGGATCTGCAAGTAGTACGAAACTTTGGGTTACAAACAATGAGAAAACAACTGCACTGGAGTGGCAGGTTTTACTTTATTTTATTTTGGGTAAAGTATGTCTTGACCCCCTCGAGTTATTCATTAACAACTCGAGGTCTATTCGGGTAAAAGTTAATTCATTTATCAAACAGACCAGGCCTGAGCACAGCTTTGAAGTTTGTATATGACTTGTTACGCTTGTGAGCACATATATATCTGCAATGGAGTTAATTGCAAATTTACTGTGGTGAACATATAGGTTGTAAGATAAATTGTTGAATCTAGATAATTTTGACTGTTATATTTTAAACAAAAACACGTGTAACAACGAACATAAGTTTGTACTCAATTTGTTTAATTACATAAGACGAGTCTAGATTGAGTTTGGAAAAAAAGACGGAGCCGACTTTACCCAAGGTGTTTAAAGTTTGTGATATTTTAGAACAGAGCTTAAATATTATTTGCGGTTGAACAAGTGTTCGTTAGGGGTGTAACTTGGGCGGGTAAACCCAAATCTAGCCCGGAAAAGAAAGAGGACTTAAGTTGAAGATTTTAAAACTTGAGTTGGATTTGGGCTAAAAAATTTTAACTCAAATTACATTCGGGTTATTCTTGAGTTGAGGTTTCGAGTTTACAGATTCAATTTAAATCTAACCAAAATTACAAAAATGTATACATACATAGAAAATTTGAAGTATATTTTATGTTTTTATTGAATTTATTTTGAATTTAGGTTAATCAGACTATTTTTTCATGTCCAAAATTTAACTCGAATTACGAGCCTGATTTGAACCTAAAATTAACTAGACAATTCGGGTTGAAAGTTGGACTCAGATTGGGTTAAGATTAAAAATTTTATATCTTAAATTGATCGTGAATTTGATCATTCAACCCATCTCACCCACCTAAGTTGCACTCCTAGTGCCTGTTCTGTTCGGTTATTTTTCTTTTAAAATCATGTCATACTCTTTTGTCAAAATGAGATCTGTTCAGACTAATGTTTGCAAACAATATATTCATATTAGTGGGACAAATTATACTTTTACCTCCTAATAATGGGCTTGATTTTATTTTATTCCTTGAATTATTGAATTTTTTTCGATTGCCCTCTCAATTATTTGAATTATTTCACATTACCCCAATTGAAAACGTCCATTATTTTTTTTGGACGAAAATTATCAATGTGCGGGAACAAAGTGAAAAAATTACATAATTCGGGAGGAAAAATGAAATAAATTTTTATTAAATATATGACAAATATTAATAAGTAGAGTAATGTGAAACTAATCAAGTAGTTGAGGGTGTAATATAAAAAACATAATAGTTGAGGGAATAATGTAAAAAAAAATGTCACAATTAAGGATGTCAAAGTATAATAGTACTAATAAATAACAAACCCCATGATAGGACTGACATGAATTTCAATAAGGTCTTTACCCAAGTAATAGGGGGTTGGGGTGGGGGGAATTGGGTAAATTTCATAATTAGTTCTTAAAGTTTATCACTTAAAAATTAGTCCCTGAACTTTTAATTGTTCTAATTTAGTCTCTCAATTATAAATTTTATATCAATTAAGTATTTTTCTCAATTTCAATCGTTCGACCAAAGAGCGACACATAAAGAGGATGATTACGTAACAAACATGTAGTTTGCTTTCGTTTATTCTAACGGGTGAAATAGACAAAAAGACTTTATTGATGCAAAATTGATAGTTGAGAGATTAAATTTTGACAATTAAAAGTTTAGAGACCATTTTAAAATCGAAGGTAAGGTTTAAGGACTAATAATAATATGTATTTATCCAACAAAAAATAAAAATAATTTGATATTATATTGGCTCTCTTTATATGGAGAACACTAAGATCTCTTTTTATTTTTTAATATCATACTAAAAAATAATAAATTCACCATAAAAAGTTATAAATGCGTCTTAAAAGATGGTAGTGAATCAAAATGGTGGTCCTGACAAAACAAAAAAATCAAAATAGTAGTAAATGAGCCTAAAAAATTGATAAATTAACCCTAGAAAGGTATAAATTTACTCCCAACTAAAAGTTGGTAAGTTCTACTCAAAATATGGTATAAAATACCTATAATTTCAACCCAAAAAAAAAAATGTCTTTTCGATTGTAGACAAATCTTCCTTCTAACTTTCATCCCTAAATTATCAATCATTGTTAAGTCACTTTCACAGTAGGTGGAAAGTTAAAAGAGGTTGACACATGTGTCTATATCAAGGAGGATAAAAAAATAATGAGCAATCTCTTCATGAAGGGATCAACCAATTGGACAGGGGTAGATGGATAGAGTGAAATGCTCTCACCAACTAGAAATATCTCGTTTCTTCGTAGTGGGCAAATAATACGGGTATTTATAGCACAATGTCTGGGTCCGCCACGACCCTCTAACATTCTTGCCAACCCATAATTGGCTCAACCGCTGTGATACTAGTGGCTGCTAACCACGAGCCATGTGTCCCATTATTAACTAGGTAGATGTGACATTTCTCCAAATCTAGCCTAGACGTAGCTCTAGGGAAAGTGCGATAGTCGAGGTGAAAGGGGACTCCCAAAGTTAATGCACGTGACTAGTCACCGTGAGACCATGACCTCGAGAAGGCCATGTACGCGATGTCTCCAATGAGCTCCTACTCGGGGTCCTCCCTTCCCTCTCTGAACCTTTCTTTGAGACCTTTGTCGAGGTTCTTGATAAATGAAACCCATATAACTTTGGTCCTTCAACCATCAATCCACATGTCCCATTATTCCATATGTTGATCCGAACCAATAACTCTAGTTTTCTTAGGAGTTCCTCTGAATCACAATCAAGCATATCCTAGTGGGCAGTGAACCATACACTGGGAGGCCTACTCAAGCAGACTAAACCTTTGAAACCTTGCCCAGTCTGAGGTTGGCAATCATGCTCGTCCATATCCATTGCTAAGTTCTCTCTTAAGGAGAGTTATCTGCTTTTTTCCTTGGTGGGGACCCCTTCCTCTTAGGTTAGTGGGTCAGTTGAGCAAAGGTGTCAAGTAGGTTGAGGACATCAATTTTGTTGGTTGTGTAGTCCCAGCCTTGTGTCTTGTTTCCACAGTGGGGGATACCAGTCATGCTAAGGTTGCTCTTAGGCCTCTGTGTTGCCACTCTTGCCCATCCTTAGTCAAAGGTCCGTTGTGCCAATTTTAATTTGATGAGGATGTGTCCCGCTCTTCTGCGGCACTAGGCGTCTGCTGTGGCATTGAGTGCCTGTTGCAGGATTGATGCCTGTTGCGAAATTAGAATACTGTTGTGTCATTGTTGTCTACTAGACTCTGTCGGGCCTCGCTGCCATATAAGTTGATAATTTCTACCATTTTTCTTTCCGCAATATGAACACTTGTCTTGAATTTATCGATGTTAAAGAAAATAGGTATATTATTAGATTATATTAAACTGTATAAAGTGTAGCTTATGAAATAACAAAATTGAACTTATATCTGTATATTGTTATATGCAACTTAATCAAAGTAGAAAATAAAAAAAAATCAGTGCACTCACAATGACGCAAATTTGCATGAACAATAAAATAAGAAACCCAAAATATTCAATCCGATTTTTGTGAAACATAATCTCCTTAAAACATATTTGCTCCCTCTCCGTGCTTAAGATTGATGAGCAACTGCCTCCCAAGATAGAATTGATATTACGTTCTTGAAGAAGTAGCACTTAAATTTTCAAGATTTCAGCGAACATAACTTGTGTTTATACTTAAACTTAACCAAAAGAACAATGCAACAATATGCACAGAGAGAGAGAGAGAAGAAATTCTGAAACTAGAATCCAGAATTGGAATGGATTAAAATGGCAATGGAGTAGTTTATTTATAGACTCTTGGTGGTTGTTCAGATCGCCTGAAGAGAAATGGGATGCCACTGTTTAGATTAAAGAGACACACTCTTTAATCTGAATAGGCAAAAGGTAACTCCTGGAATGAACATAACCCATTTTTTGTGCCAAATTCAAATTAACTAATAGAAATTTAAAAATCCAATTGGATTTAAATTTCGATTAAGATTTTAATTTTGATCCGATTGATTTGACCCATGACTTGTACCGCTTCAAATAAATTTTGTCCAAAAAGATTATATCTTTTTGGCCCAAGCCCAGCCCGGTCGAGTCGTGGCGTGGCGTGGCGAGGCAAGGTAGGCGGACAGCGTGTGCGTGTGATAACCAAAGTAGTGTAAGCGCTTGCTCCACTCACAAAAGAGTGGTAACCCTTGGGGCTCAACCCATGAAATCAACTATGAGTATATTAACTTACCA